GTTAATGAAGGTAAATGGGCTCCTTTCTCAAATTTAGTTTTGTAGCCTACCACTTGGGAATAATAGAAACTATGCTATTTTTCAATTTTTTGCTTTGAGTATTGAACATTCCTGAAAGGGATTGTTTGAGTTTGATTACTTTTTCTCTTGCAGTAGGAGCAAGGTGCTATTAGCTACCACGGTTGGAGCCTTAAAGTATAGTCAAATGACAACCTCCTCTGGAAAATCAATTTAAGCTTAATACTGATGGCTTTGTCCAGCATGAGTTGAGGGCTACAAGTTGTGGGGGGCTCATCCGGGATCATACAAGATCTTTTATACACTACTAGAAAAGCGTTATTTACAGATACAGACAAATTTATATATGAATTTGTGGTTTTTTTTTTAATTTCTAAAAAATTCGTCTGTAGTTTGCCCACCATTTGGCGCGAAACTATATAGACAGGAATTACAGACAGATTTTTCTGTCTGTAATTTGAAAATTGGAGGGAAATTGGAAGCGGGAGTTACAGACGGATTTTTTCGTCTGTAAATATTACCCTTTTTAAGCAACCTTTCATGTGGCTATTTACAGACAGATTTTTCCGTCTGTAAATGAAATTGACGAATTTAAAGATGAAAAAATTGATCTATAAATGGACCTTTAAAACGCACCATTTCATTAAACCATTTATAGACGGATTTTACCGTCTGTAATGTCTGAAACCCATAAAACCGTGCCTTCCCCTTCTTTATTTTTCATAAATCTCTCTTTCTCTCTCGCCTCTCTCTGTCTCTCTCTCTAGTAGCTCAGTTTTTGGCCTTTGCGAGTGATTGGAGCATCCTTTTGAAAGATAATTTGCATCATTGTGTTCCTAGGTATGATACTCTAACTTTTAATCTGTTTAGTTTTTTTATTTTTGATGTATTTTAGAGACTTAAAATTTCTAAGATAGAGTTGTAGGATTGGAGATTGTATGACTGCGGGGAAGGGCATAGAGGTCTTTCTCCGAACTTGATTATTGTGTGTTGTGGGATTCTTTGTGTTTGCGGAATTTGTAGAATATGCATCTTGTGGAGTTATAAGGAGATGTGTTCTAGAACGGTTTAGGATTGTAATGTGTATATTTTTTATGCATTGATTAATAGATTGTTACATAATATATAGATTATGTGTAAAGAAAATTTAGATTTTATATTAAGTACGTGTAAACAAATGTAAGGAAATATTCATATATTAAGAGATATTCTGCCAATCATCATAGACCCAGGCATCATCGAGATCACTTCCAACTTTAAGATGGAATGGATCTACTTGGTAAGTTAAATTTAAAATATGAATAATAACTCTATTTGATGTGAATGTTATATAATTGTATTATTTTATTCAATCTATAATTGATATTTGAGATGGTGATTTAATTGAAATTGCAGGAAAAGTCACTGAAGAGACCACCTACACATGGAGAGGTGTTCAAGGAGAACACGATCTCAGGCCACATATGTAAGTCATTCTTATCGACACTATATGTTATTATTAATGATTTATCAAATAATTTTCGAGACTAATATATAATTATCTGCATTGAACTATAGGATGACTATGTTCAAAGGCTTGAGGAGACATCTTCTCAGGATCCAGAGTCAGTTGATGAGGATACCATATGGTTAGAGATGGTGGGTGGCCTTTATAAAGGCCGTATTTACTGCATGGAAAGCTGTTTTGCAGACTCCATGTCCCCTGCATCTGTCATCGGAGATGCTCCTTCTCTTGTACCTGAGGAAGTGGAGGACATGATCCGCACTCAGGTCCATGCCCTGAATGAAGAACTGCAAAAGCAAAATGAGGAGATGTGGAAGACCAAGGAAATGGGAGAAGAAGTGGGTGAAGAAAATGGAGAAGAAGATAGAGAAGAAGGTGGCATCAAAGGGAGGTGCAGCAACAGATGCAGCAGCAGCAAATGCAACAACAGCATATGCAGATGCAACACATGCATGCATACCTTGAGGTCATGAGAGCAAGCACCTCTACACCTCTTCCTCCTCCTCCACTAGCTCCAACACCACCAATCTTTAGCTCCATGTGTCATTCCTCCTCTGACTCCTCCTGTACTAATGACGATACTTTTTCGGAAGATGATCACACCGATTATTAGTGATATACAATGTTATTTTATTTTTGGTGTTATTTTTTTAGATGTTTACTTCTTCATTTGTAATGATATTTTAATTTTACATTTTATAAATAATTTTTGATTTAAATATATAATTTTGTAGTTTTTATTATGTTTATAAATTGTGATAATTAGGAACAGGGAGGAATAATTATGTTTATAAAAAAATAAAATAATTTTTAAAAAATTTCATAAATGAATTACAGACAGATTTTTTCGTCTGTAAATTATAGACGAATGTAAATTACAAACAAATTTTTTCATTTGTAATTATTTACCGACGTGCATATTACAGACGGCCTGTAATCGTCTATAAATCCGTCTGTAATGCTAAAATTTGTCTGTAATGATAAAAAAATTTGTCTGTAAATTTGTCTATATTTACAGATTTTCTAGTAGTGATAACTGTTTTCCATAATTCTATCTAGATTTGTTCTCCCGTTGCTACTGAACTTTGGGCTGTTTTCTAGGGCCTCAAACTAGTTATAACTAGAAATATTCACATTATTTGAATTGAATGTGATCGTAAAGAAATCATCTATTTAATTACTAATATCCATTGTAATAACCACTCTTTTACTGCTATGATTAGGAAAATTAGGTCTCTCCTTACAAGTATTAAATTTGTTAAGTTCAGCCATGTCCTTCGGGAGACCAATCAATGTGCAGATTGGATGGCTTGACTTGGGCATAAGAATGGGAGGCCATACTACTGGTTGGATTCTGCTCCTTCACTTTTAGAATCGATGTTAAGATTGGACTCTTTTAGCTTTGCCTAACCTTGATTTTATAATTAGTTCTCTTCTTATTTTTGAACTTTTTTTAAGCCATGATGATAAAAAAAAAAATGTTAAGATCCAATACTTTAATTTTATATCAAAAATTTTAGTGTATGATTTTTAACCCTTTATGCTTTCCAACTTTCAAGATGAATTCGAATGAAATAAAAAAGTTAATCATAACAAAATATAATTTGTTAACCTAATACATATGACTGAGAGAATAGAAAAAATGATGATGAGCCATAGGAACTTCCTGTGTTGGTTGGAAGAGAGATGAACAATTATTGCTCTAAAAAGAAGAATATTAGTCTATTATAAAGGATAAAATTTTAACTAAATAATTTTTCCAACAAATTTAGTCAAAACATCACAAAATAAGAGTTAAATTATGTCAAAATTTATCTCATAAATTTTAAAAATAAAATAAAATTATTTATTGTATTCCTCATTTAGCCAACATGAGATTTGTTTACAATAAAATTTTAAAAATGTAATTATAAATATTTTAAAACAGATTAAAATTTTTAAATAATTTTTATTAAAAAGTATAATAATGTAATTCATCATCGTAATTTTTAAATAAATTCTAAATTACTTTTGGTAAAAAATATTTTTATTAATTTTTAAAATAATAGTATAATAAAACCAAATTTTTAAGGAATTGTTTGAATTTTATAAACATTTTTATTTTTATTTACAAAATTGTCATCTTATTATTATTTTATTTCATATTTTTATATATTTATACAAAAATAATAAAAATATAAATAATTTATATTATATAAATATTTAAAACAAGAAAAAATAAAAACAAAAAATTTTCTGAAACCAAATAACTCTTTTCATAGAATATCTTTAACGCATATTAATTTACGGAGTTAGATCATTATCAACAAATATCAAAATAAAATATTTATATCACATAATAACTTTTGAAAAAATGTAAAATTAATTAATAAATTTTTTATTTAAAAGATTTTATTAAATAAAATAATTTTATAAAAATTTATAACAAAATAAAATTTATATTTTTAAAAGCATGCAAATTTTGCATGAACATAGTCATCATCATCACATTAGGAGTACCCATGTGTTTTGGTTTCACCTTACATATATACATTTCGCCTAAATGCACCTTCACTTGGACTCACACGCTTTTCAGAACAGTTTCCAAATCCTAAACGCATGTACAAAGTTGGGGGACGTGTATCCAGACACCGACACGTGCCACATACTCTCAATGTCGGTTTCTTCTTACGCTAGGTGACCCTGTTACCTGTGTGGCGTCGGTGTAGTCTTTCTTTTATCTTCATTTACTCGAGGCAAATGTAATAATTTACGACAATAGCTAAATTACATAAAAAAAAAAAAGCAGAAGGTTATTTTATGTCCTACGTAAAAGATGTTATGAGCCGCGTAATAATTTAAAATATCATGTCACACTCTGTCCTTTTAAAAAACCACGTTTAAGCAGAGATTGCAAAGCTTGTCTTAATTTACGGAAATATTTCGTTTGTTTTTATCTTATTTTCTTTTGACCCACGTGTCATGTTTGATGATTAGATTAAAACTTCAAGAGTCAGAAACCACTGAAATTAAGGGCAAAAGCGGCAACATAAAAACTTGATGAGAAAGACGCTCAGATTTGAACCCGAGAGATTTGAGTAATTTACTAGAGATTATATGTTCAGATTTTATTACTACATTGTTGTAATAAAGAGGAGAAAAATCTTTACATTCAAAGAATTCCAAAATTGCATGCGTGCGAGGCATCAAAGAAGAAAACCGCTCATGTGACTTGGAAAATATCAAGAGAGAAATAAATTATTCTTATTTGTTTGTTTATATAAAAATCGAACTTGCTAATGAAAAATAAATTTTGAAAAACTTACCAACACAAGCTGCAAATTGTTTCACACTTGTGAGTTAATCGGAGTTATGAGTAATCCGAGTCACAGCGATTTTATTTGACCAAACCCTCACAGACACCCACCTTAATTGACAAAGTCAAACACTAACGTCAATGATATGACACAACACAACCCTGTGTTGGGATGGTATGGTTTTTCATTTTAACAATATAAATACAAGCCTTCCTGATTCCAACAATTTCATATAGTATCATGGAGAAACAGTCTAAGCTGAAGAACAAGATCTTTAAGATAATACCAAAAGCAGCTGCTGCAGTGGCCGTGACATTCCAAAACCCTCCCTTCAGCCCGGGCAGAGATCACAAACTGAGATCGGAAAACGCTGCAACCAGGTGGGTCAAACCTCATGCTCATGGGGGCAAAGGGTTCTCTGGCCCTATAGTTTCTATGATTCCGAATGAAGCAAGAAGAAAGGCAAAAGATGGGGGAATTGAAACTCAAGAACCCACTTCACCAAAAATCTCCTGTATGGGACAGATCAAGCACAAGAAGAAACAGATTAAAAAAGACAAGGCTAAGACCATGTCACTGCCTACACAAACAAAAACCAGAGGCCCTGTTGTTGGCAGTGCCTCATCCACTCCCAGAGACACAGAGGAAAAGAAACGCACTTCTAAGTTGCAGAGGATGTTCTTCCACACCCCCAAACCCAAAACTGCGGCGAGAAAACCCGATGCTTCTGCGTCTGATGACAGAGCGCCACCGCTGGGGGAGATGAGGCGTTTTGCAAGTGGGCGTGAAACTTTCTCTAATTTCGATTGGAAGGCTCAGATAGCGCCTGAGGAAATTGAGGAAAGGGATTGTTATTCAGATGATGACAGAGTGGAGAGTGATGCTGAAGAAGATGTCATAATCCCCTTCTCTGCTCCTATTATGCTCGGTGGTGGTGGTGGTGGTCCAGAAAGTGTACCTAATTTGCAGCCGCGGAAAGAAATTAATCTATGGAAGAGAAGAACCATGGCTCCACCTAGGCCTCTTCAGTTGAATCCAGTGCTTACGGCAAAATGATTCTTTCGTTGTTGAAATCGTAGATTTTTTTGTTTTTGTTTATTCATTTCTTGGATCATTTGGGTTGTCAGAATTGCAGATAATACGTTTAGATACAAACAAATATGGTTCTTTTCGACTTGGCTCAATGGGCTTGTACTTCGTTTTTACTTTTTGTTTGTTTCCATGTATAGAAAATATGGTAATCATAGCATAGCAAACGCCATTGATTTGATTCATCAAAGTACAAGTTCAAGTCAATTATTATTATTATTATTGTTCAACGAGGAAGATGATAATAAAATAAATGGGTGTTCAAAACAATCATAATTGTCAAAAGAAAATTTGAAAACAATGAAATAAATTAAAATGAATTGAATTTTCTTGTTGAAATTAAGATTCTTGGGACTAGCCCGTGGTTGCTTAGAAGGCAGTGTTTAATTAGTTAATGAATCCGAGTTGCCGTCCAACAGTCGATAATTATTAAATTGGTCAAATCGCGCACGCAGTTGAAAGCAACGAGTATGTGGTTGGTGAATGGTGCGGCTGCATTTTCTGTCTTACTTTTCACAATATTCTTTTATAATATAAAATAAGACCAATAATATAATAAAAATATTATTCATTTATTAAAAATGTCGACCAGTAGTTTTAGGCTCGGGTGTAAAAAATTGACTAAATATAATGTTATATTTTAAAATATCTTTCTCATAATTTTGTATGTATTTTATAAGGAAATATTAAATAGAAAGTAAATGATTCAATTATTTTTATAAACATTAAATTGTTTAGTATTTTTCATTGAGTAACTATAATAATAATTAGGATAAAGCTTAGCTGCGGTTGAATAACAACACCAACAGTGCTTACAATACCTAAATTTTGTTCTAATAATTATAAAATTTTATTTATTCTTTATGTAAATTGGTTTTTTAGTGTGTCTAAAAATATATAATAAAAATTTATATCATACACATATATTAAAAATTATAAAATATAACACATTAAAAATTACAAAAAAGAGTTAAATATTATATAATTTTTAGTAACATTTTCCTATTTATTAATTTTTTAGCATTTACCTTTTGGACCCATATTACAAATATCATGTAAAAACTTATATATAGTACTTAGTTTAATTTATTTTTTACGGGAATACACATTTTCCTTTTTATGATTAAAAAAGGCAACAATTTTGTTTTGCTTTATTGCTTGTTAGATGACCTTGGGATATTATTAAGGAGTAATTTTATAAATTTTAAATTAATTTTTTGTAATTATCTTTATCAAATAAATAAAATAGTGGAAATTTTATTTTAAAATTTGTGTAAAATTATACATAATAAAAAATAAGTGTAATATATTTTATTAAAATTTATAACATTTAATAAAATTTATTATATACAAATTTTTAAATCTTATATAATATTATGGAAGTTACAAAATTTTAAAATATTCAATCTCCCTTAGTTTGAACTTTTTTTTTCAAGTAGAATGAATTAAATTGTTGATATAAACATTTTTATATTGAATGCGTGAAAGAATTATAATGCTACCAATATTATAATATTCTTTATCATTTAATAATTTTTTTTATCTAAATTATTGATTTGTTGCTATATCTTTCTTAAAATTTATGCTTATCAATTACTGTTATGTGAATATTTTAATTATTTATTGCAACTTATTTAGTTTTCTAATTTATTATTATTTCCTATCTTTGTTTCCTTTTTAGTTTTTTTAATCATAAAAATCTAAAACATTAGATGAGGATGAATTGAAAAATTATAGTATTAGTTTAGTTTTTATTTTTTAAGTTTAGATGGGCGTTCCTGTATTAATTTTTTATTTTATTTTTTTCCATAATAAAAAAGTTGACAAAAGTAAGAACAAAAAAGTTATTCCACCATTATTAGTATCAAATTATATTAAAAATTATATAGTTTCTAAATGCACGCAATGTTGTATAAAATATTATTAATAATACTTATAATTACCATCATTAAAGGAAGAATTTGAAATTAAAAATATTTAATTTTTATTTAAGATCAGTTTCATAAGTATAATAAAATGATAAAAATTGAAAATTATTATTGATTTAAAAATTTAAAAGACAAATACAAAAATGGATAAGATTGTATTCCTAGCAAACAATAAAATGAGTTTTGCATTTGAATTATAGGTCACTAATTATCATCTCCTTAAATTATTTAAGGCATGTTTGAAAAGGTGTTTAGAAGGAAAAAAAGAAGATAGTATTTTTTTAATTTTAAATTAAAAAAATATTATTTATAATAACAAATATATTATTAATAGTTTTAAATTTTTATTAATATATTAATTTTAAATATATTTATTTAAAATATAAATTTTGTCCTCCTTAGGTCTCATTAAAATCTTCCCAGAGAACCCTCAGGGAAATGTTATTACTAAATTATATTTTAAACTTGAATTAGCTCGTAACAAACACATCATAAGACTCAATTTTTAATTTTCTAATCAGCAGACTCTTTTAGTTGGTAGATACCATGGTCTTACTCGAGCCACCACCAGCAGTTAATTACAAATTTGCCATAAAGCAGAATAGTTAGTAATCACTGCGTGGTTTCTATGTCACTTCGGAATTCGTTGCAAGATTGATCACGTCATAAACATGGGTTGCATTAATTGCATAACGTTCAATGACTTTAATTTTTTTTAATGTATTTTTTATAAATATAAAATATTAAATAATTTAATATTGATTTAATCTTTTATTAGCATTAAATGATATTAATTGATCACTTAAGTTTTTATGCTTAAAAAGTCAATGTCAAAGATAGAAAAATAAGTTTTTAAAGAGTGACTTAAATTAGATTATCAAAACTTGTTTTAAAAACTTTTTATTTTAAAAATTTGTGTAATTATTAACATCGTATCTCAATAATATTTTTTTATTATAAATAAAATTAAAATTAATAAAAATTTTATAAAAATAATTTTATTAATTTATGTGAATAATTAATTAAAATTTATTTATATTTTTTATTACCATATCTTAATTTATATTTAAGATTTAAAAAAAATACAAATACCCGTAAATGAAACCAAGAGGCATTGATCAACAGTCCCTACAAGTTTAGTACCGATGAAAGTAAACGATAATGTTAACCTTCATGCTAGACTAACTGATTCAAATTAGTAAATTTTATTTTATATCAACAATAATCATTTCTTTTTATAATACTAATTATATAAATAATATCTATATTGTATTCTAATTGACAGTGTAAAAATGTTTACATTAATAATACACTAATTAAACTCATAAAAATAATTAATTATTATATACTATCTTCAATTTTATTTACAAAGAATTTATGTTTAAGTCAAAAAGAAACTATATATTAAATATTTATATTGTAATTTAAAATTTACATAAAATTAAATTTTTAACTTGATATTTTATACATTAAATCAATAAATTTATCTATTTAAATAAGTAAAAAGTGAATATATTGTTAATACAAATATTATAACAAATAAAGATGTAAAACTAATTTAACAATTGAAATATTTAAAAATTGTCTTTCATTTCTTTTAATTCGGTAAAAGAAATTCATTTTTCAAGCATATATTTAAAGGCATGCAATACAAAATCAATAAATAAAAATTTTATAAAAAAATTCTGGTATTTAATGTTACAAATGAATTGTATTCTATGATATATTGTGATTTTCAATAAAAAAAATATAATAAATAATTTCTTTTACTGTGTATCCTTAAGCACACATTAAAAAATAAAAATATTATTAATAATTATTTTTTATAAATAAGATTAATAATACTAATAAATTAGAAAATTAAAGTTGTTTTTTATATATAAAAAAATTAAAGTTTTTTAGGTTAAAAAGAAAGAATTACATTTTTTTAATAGTGAAAGAAATAATTATATTAAAAAGAGAGTTATAAAGAATTATTATATATTAAAAAATTGGACCCATATATACATACACATACATGAATTTAGAAAAAAATAAAAATCTATGCAACTTTGCTCTTATTACAGGGAAAAAATGTTTTAGAGCATTTCTATCTCTATAATTAAACAATTCTCCATTTTTAATGTAATACTCCTTTTGTTTATGTTAACAACTTCAGTGACACTCTGTGCAACAGTTACTTATTTTTAAGCAAGTGCGATTAAATTTACTTTTAAAGCACGGAATAATAGGATTATAAACTAACACAATTTTTTTGTAGTTTATTTTTACTTAAGAAGTCAACATAAAAATTAAGAAATAGATTTAATGTTCTTCTTCTTATTAAAATATTGTGTGATTTTCTATTACACTACTTCATCTTTCATATAATTAATTATTTTAAATTAAGGGTATAACTAATAAAATGTAATTAATGTTATCTTAAACTTTTTAATATGACATATAAATAAAAATAGTTTCTTAAATGTTACAAATAAAAAAATGGAGGCACAATCGATAAAAATGAAAAGGCGTTGGCTTGATAAATTTGTAACTAAAGTCTTCTTAATCAATAAATAGATTTTTAAAAAAAAATTAAAAATGCAATTAAAAATTTCAATAAACATACATTAATAATATTTTTTAAATTATTTTTTCACTTTAAATTTTTAATCAGTATGTTTTAAATACTTATTAGTTTATAAATTTATACTGAACTTCGAGTATGGCATTTTAAACGAAAACCCCCTAAAAAGGCAGGCGCCAGCGAATATGGCTGGAAATCAATGATACATTTATGAAAATCACATCCTCCTATTCATTGTTAATTCGTCCGTATGGTTGCGAATTTTAACCCCAGAAATTCCACCGGACAAAACATAGTTAAAATGTTATAAGTATTTTGTTTTTAAATTAAAATCTTATTTTAATAATTCAGGCGACCAGGATTGATACCAAAATAAAATTTTATCTTAATCGGAGAATAATATAAAAATAATAATAAATCTGCACTCGAGATATATTTGTTTCTGAGTTGTAATTTTTTAACGTTTGTAGTGACTTCAACGCTAAACAAAGTGCTTTATGAGACTAAACTTATGTTTACAGCATTGAAATGCGCGACTAAACATGCTTAAATTTTGTCTAATTCGAACAATACTGTCATATCCAAAAAATAAAATATAAAAATAAAGCAACACATTAGAATCTCAGTCAGACACTTTTCTTTCTTGGGTCAAAGAATTTGAGACGCTTATATCCAAATCATGTATAGGCCTCAATATATTTGACAATTATGTAATCACATATGTTGTTTTAATCTTGAACTGAGAGTGTGAATTAAAAAGAAATATCAAATATATTCAAAATTTAGATCTTGAACACACTAACTTTTATTATAAATGTTACATCTTCAGCCAATAAGTCTAAAGCTTTATTAGCAGTACTTTCAATTATCTATTTTTATGTTAATATGATTTGAATAATTTATAACATACATTCTTGCGTAAAATTCTCAAATTCTTATTTGTATCAAAAATCTTCACAAATTAGGCATATTATGTTTGGGGGAACATAATGAACTTAACACAAATAATTACATATGCAGGATATAAAGTGGGTAGAAGAAATATGAAAATTAAGTGACACGCACCCCTTGGTACCTGAGAATTTCCCCAATGAGCTCTCCTTTACCGGAACCAACGTACCTGCCACGAATCTCGCCATCTCTGATGAAGAGAAAGGTGGGAACCTGAATCACCTCTTGGTCCCTCAAGAACTGCATGCAACTCTCATTCTCGTCCCCGTTCATCCTTGCAAACACAACCGTGTCCGACATTTGCCTCGACAACTTAATAACCGTAGGATAAACCTTAACGCAGGGCCCGCAATGTTTGAGGCCAACATCCAGCACGATGAGCTTGTGGTCAACCTTATGATCCTCTATAAGCTTCTTCACGTCCTCTCCGCTGTGCAGCTGCACCACAGCCGAATGATTGTCTCCGTAGTATAGCACATCCCCAACTAGCTGATCTGGACCGATACCTTCCTCTTCGTGGATCTTCTCCATGCTCTTGTAAAAGCTGAAGTGAGGCACTTTCTCCACCTTCTCTCTCTTGCAAAGTTCCTTTGTCTTCTCTGATTCATCGCCCATTACGAGGATAAATTCCACGTCGCTGCAGCTTCGGCTCAGCTCCACCATGAAAGGGTATATTTGGCTGCTCTCTAAGCTGTCGCTGGCCGCGTATTCTACCACTACCAGTTTGTTTTTCGCCATTTGAAGCGCTTCATCGAACTCCTCGATGCTGTGGACTCGCTGAACTCTTTCCTCTTTTTCTGTTTTCTTGGCGCCCGAAGCGGCTGTGGCCTTGGGAATGAGCCGAATGGGATTGTGAGAATTGGCTCCGATTCCGATTGAGGGAGAATGGATTTTGGGCAGAAAAGGTAACGAGGAACGGTACGAGAGAAGAGGGAGGAGCTTAGGGTGCGTGGAATGAGAGATTGGGGGTTTGAGTATGAAATTGTTGGTGACTGTAGCCATGGGTCAGAGGGTATCTATGAATGAAGAGAGAGAGAGAGAGAGAGAGAGAGAGAGAGAGGAAGCAACTAGTGGTTGGTTCACTACACTTGGATGGATAACACAGATTATGAAAGGGGAAATAGGAAGATTATAATGCCGCGCTCTCAGAAAAATCATATCCCCTTGTTTGCCATGTGGTACATAATGCCCACACGTGTCTTTTTCATTGGGTGTGTGCGGGTGTCTACTGTCGATTCATTTTCATCCAGTTATATCAGTATTAATTATATTTTTTCAGAGAGAATTTTGTTAGGTTATATTACATATTTTGAAGACAACGGATACGGATTCCTTACAAAATACTTAACGCTATATGTACATAAAAATCTGCGGCAAAAATCACAAAAGAACCACTCTTGGCCTTTCATTATTCTCCCTCTTTCTGGCCCTCTTATTCATTTATCAATGATTTCCATCTAATCTCAGTTTCAGACACGCAGAACATTTATCCGTCACCTAGTGAGTTCAAAGTTAAGTGCTAAAAATCAATGTCTTGTTTGTTATTTTTCTAACATGCTTGCAGTTCCACGGATATTATTTTGGGTCAACTTCATTGGAGAAAGATCTTTGTGAGTTTCGAGTTAATTTTTCCTAGCTCAAAAACTAATAACTGTACTATTTTCTGCGTCATTTCCTACAATGTCCACAGCTGCTCCTTAGCATGAACAAAACAATCCCAACAACTTTTTTCTTATTTTGGTCTCAATCGGGGATATTTCTTAGTAATTTTCAAACATCTTTTGTGAGAAAGTAATTATTTAAGGTTTATCGTTGCCATTCAAACTGTTATATGTGGTGGGATTTTGTAAATTATGTCAGATATGTAATTATTTTTCTTTGTATAATGATCTGAATGTAAAATGGGAATCCAAAAATTTTCGATGTATAACTTATTCTTGGGTAAAGTACCCATTTGAATTTAAGAACTCCGGCCCGGAAAGAATATTGGGCGAAGCCCACAAAGAGAGCAGAGTGCTGCTTGTATGTGAAATGTATTAGACCTGTTAGCAAATAATCGTCAAAGCTTTCTCAGACGGGATAACAATTAAGTTTTGACTAAACAAAATAGGCTTTTAAATAAAAAAGCTTAGCTTAATTTCGTAAATATGTCTATGAAGAACTATTTAACTTATTATTATTTTTTATAATAAACAGGATTTTACTACCCAATAGAAAATAAATTAGACAACTTGTCTAGGGAAACAAAGTTCCTATTACATCTAGCCTTAAAAAAGGCTTAAAAGTATAAGAGAGCCTCATAAAGAAATATAGGAAGATAACCCAAGTTCAAATTCCATCTTATCTGCCAATCAACATTTTATTTAACCTCTTTAAAAGTATATAAGAAGTTTCCTAATTTCATGAAGAAATGAAGATTATAACTCTAAATATTAATAACTAAAAAAATAACTTTTTTAAAGTTACTTTCTATCCAAATAAGCTAAATATTTCTAGTAAGGGCTAACTAGATACTCTAATAAATTTTTCAAAGTTTAATAATGTTAGACAACGTAAATAATAGTTAGAAAATATTCATCATGTAAATCATTATTAAAGATCAATTACAATCATAAGGATCCAAAATCATAGGCTAAGACTCCTCCTGTATTGATGTATATATTGATACCACCAAATCAATGACAGGCACGCATGATTTCTTACATGGTATCAGTAGTCAATATCTGATCGTAAGACAGCGCCTCCCTCCTCATCCCTTTCTCCTATTTTCATTCCCTCTCCTTCTCTCCCTCACATCAATGGCTAACCAAACCAAATTCCACCCTGCACTTGATGTCAACAGCGTCAAGAATTTCATCCCTATCACTTTAGAGATGGAAAAGGGTCATTACTCTTCATGGGCAGAGTTGTTCAAAATCCATTGCCGAGCATACCAAGTCATCGATCACATTATCCCACCTCCATCAAAATCAACTGACACGGCAAAGGAAAAAGTTGCCGACGTCGATCCAGCACTTTGGTCTCGCTTGGATACTATCGTCCTTCAATGGATTTACGGCACCATCTCACCGATCTTTTGCACACCATCCTGCAACCAAATTCGACTGCACAACAAGCATGGGAGCGACTACAAAATATCTTCCATGACAACAAAAACTCACGCGCTGTCTACCTGGAGAATCAATTCACTCACGTTCAAATGAATGACTATCCCAACATCTAGGCATACTGCCAAGAACTCAAAATGCTTGCTGATCAATTATCTAACATTGGTGCACCGATCTCCAATCAAAGGCTAGTTCTTCAATTAATTGCGGGTTTAAATGAGAACTACGATGGTGTTGCTACTTTCATTCAGTAGACTGATCCTTTGCCGCTTTTTTACGAGGCACGATCGAAGTTAATCCTTGCAGAAACTCGCAAAGCAAAGCAGGCTGCCTCCGCCGCTAACAACGCCGGCACGGCTCTCCTCACAACCAACCTTTCCACTGATGATGCTTCTAGTGTTGGCCGCGGTCACAACTCCAGCCCTCATCCTTCCTCTAGTCGTGGCAACCATGGCCTGAAACGCGGCCAAAATCGTGGACGAGGACGCAATGGTGGCAGTCGAGGCAAAGGTCGCAACAACAACAACCACAACAATGGTGGACCATCCCAACTGCGACTGTGGCAGCATCAATAGTCCCAGTGGATGCAGTACCCACCGTGGGGACCTTGGGGACAACAACCATGGGCCGCTCCTCCTTGCCCTTACCCACCTCATCATGGACTTCACCTCCTCCTGCACGTCAACTCGAAATCCTTGGCAATCGTCCACAACAAGCATTCAATGCTTATGGGCCTCCTCCACAACATGCACCCACCAACACTGATGCGGCAATGCAAACTTTATCTTTGAATGTTCCTGATGAGAATTGGTACATGGACACTGGCGCAACATCACACATGTCAGCTTCTCGAGGTACTCTCTCATCTTATTTTAATTTGAGCAATAGCAAAAACATTATTGTTGGCAGTGGACATGAAATTCCAATTCGCGGGTATGGACACACAACTTTATCACCTCCTCACCCACCCTTAACTTTAAACAATGTTTTGCATGCCCCTAAACTCATTAAAAACTTGATCTCTGTCCGTCGTTTGACAACTGACAATTTTGTGTCTATTCAATTTGATCCTTTTGGGTTTTCTGTGAAGGATTTTCTGACGGGGATGCCACTAATGAGATGTAATAGCACTGGCGATCTATATCCTATCACCAACACTCCATCACCCACCACTCCATCAAATTTTGTTGCCCTTTCTTCTGTTTTATGGCATAACCGTTTGTGACACCCGGGAGCACCTGTTTTACGCTTCCTTAGGAAAAATAAATTTATTGACTGCGAAGACTCTACTTGCTCTTCCGTTTGTCAATCTTGTGTTTTTGGGAAACATGTTAAGTTGCCATTTTATGTTTCAAATTCTTCCACTACTAAACCTTTTGATATTATACATAGTGATTTGTGGACATCACCAATTCTAAGTTCTTCCGGTCATAAGTATTACATTCTTTTCTTGGATGATTACACTAATTTCTTATAGACATTTCCCATTAGAAGAAAATCACAAGCTTATTCCATTTTCTTGTCCTTTAGTGCATTCATTCACACTCAATTTGAAATGAATATTAAATGTTTTCAATGTGATAATGGGAAGGAGTTTGATAACGAGGTTTTTAACCAATTTTGTCACAGTCATGGCATGACATTTCATTTTTCTTGCCCATATACCTCTCCATAAAATGGCAAAGCCAAAAGTAAAATAAGAGCCATCAACTACCTCATCCGAACTCTCCTTGCCCATTCCTTTATGCCACCGTCATTTTGGCAGCACGCACTTCACATGGCAACCTACCTCTTAAACATTCTTCCAAGCAAACTACTCTCAAATTATTTCCCAACTCAAATGCTTTATCATAGGGATCCATCTTACACACATCTACGGATTTTTGGCTGTTTGTGTTATCCTCTTTTTCCCTCCACCACAATAAACAAATTACAACCACGTTCCACCCTTTGTGTCTTTTTGGGATACCCAAACAATCATAGGGGATATAAATGTTATGATCTGTCCAATGGAAAAATAATCATTTGTAGACATGTCATTTTTTATGAATCCCAATTCCCATTTGCCAAGCTACATTCACCCACATCTCACACCTATGACTTTTTCAATGAAAGCTTACATCCTTTCTGGCATCATCACTTACATACTCAACCTACCTCAACCCATCAAACACAAACTGAGCCAAATAAAACATGATAAATCCCACCTAACCACGAACCAAAATCGCCCACATCTCCACGGCCTAATACACCATCGCCAGCCCTCTCACCTCAAACGGCCCAAATTCCACCTAGTCCACGTCCAACCAAATAAATTAAGCCCCACCTCGAACCGTCGAAACCCGCAACATGCATGGGATTCATAAGCCCAAACGTCAATTCAACTTGACGACCTCCATTGCACCATCACCCCTTCCCCGTAACCTAAAAGTTGCTTTGTCTGACCCGAATTGGGAAATGGCCATGATAGACTAATTTGATGCTCTTATTAAAAATCAGACATGGGAGTTGGTTCCCCGTCCTTCTGATGCTAATATTATTCGTTGCATGTGGGTTTTTCGTCTTAGAAAGAAATCTGACGGCTCTTTTGAGCGGCACAAAGCTCGTCTTGTTTGTGATGGCAGGTCTCAACAGGTTGGTGTGGATTGTGATGAAACTTTTAGCCCCGTAGTGAAGTCGGCAACTATATGGACTATTCTTAGCATTGCTTTATCAAAAGCTTGGTCCATTCATCAGTTGGATTTTAAAAATGCTTTCCTGCATGGGAAACTCCATGAAGTTGTATATATGCATCAACTGATGGGTTTCAGAGATCCCATTCATCCCGATCACATGTGCTTATTGAAGAAATCTCTCTATGGACTCAAACAAGCCCCTCGTGCTTGGTACCAACGGTTTGCTAATTTTGTCTCCATTATTGGTTTTTCACATAGCAAATTTGATCATTCATTATTCATTTATCATAAAGGGGCTGACACGGCATACATTCTACTTTATGTTGATGACATCATTCTCACAACATCCTCTACTGTTC